ATCATGCTGATTTTCGAACTTGACCTGCGTTTTATGAATATTCATCAGCTCTGTAAATATAAAGCCAAAAAGTGAAACTGCCTTCCACTTATCGTGTTTACAAGGAAAGTGCACGGCGCCGGCATCGCCATCGCCATCGCCATCGGCAGCGGCGACGGCGACGACAGACGCAGGTGATGGCAATATGTACAGACACATCTGTGTCTGTACATAAAAAGGAAACTAAACCATAGATTTCTCTTCTTTTGTCATAGTTCATCGGTTTTAGCTTCTAGCAACATCTTGCACTGAAAGCAAGGTCTTAGATTATGAAATAAAATTAGACCATTTTCATCTTTCGTATCGAAATGAAAAAAAAATTAGTTGAAAACCACTTGCCTTCAGAGAGCTTTCGGCTGACAACTAATTATCAGCATTGAGAGTGGTATAAAGAAATATCTAATCCACACTCTAGGTAATGCTAGTTGTATTACAAACAATTTCCAAGAATCAATGTGTGTGCTGTTAATGTTCAGCTCACTAAGTGGCCTCAAGCAGGGTTTTTCAGGGGGAACAGAAGAATGGCCTTTTACTGGTAAAAATATTTTGACAACAACATTTTTTATGAAGAATCAATACATTCCTAATCACCTGTATTTGTACTTTCATGGTTCAGAACTGAATCAAAAGTTAATTTTTTTTTTTGTTTTTTGTTTTTTTGTTTTACGTTTGCATGAAAAAATAAACAACAAGGTAGTACGTGTCGCAAACATTTTACTGATCTTCTATGGCATATTTGGTCTGGCAATCATACAACTCAAAACCCATTTCACTAAATAATAAATAAACAAAGCTAATTTTCAATCCGTTCATATACTCCTCTCCAAAACTTACTTCTCTTTTGATAATTTCTTTGGGTAAAAGCTCCACAACATCTAGGAGAGTTTCGAGCCAAGCGTTGGCCACATCTGGAATAAAAACAAAATGCTTGTAGCAGAGGTACACATATCACAGGATTACCTTTCGAATGAATGGAAAATGTCAGCAATTTTCAATCAGACACAATCTTCATGCTCAGATTACTGATTTTTCTTTAATCTGTCATCCTCTTTATTGAAACCTACAGTAATATCTGCTCTCAGAATGAGATCAAAGCCAAAAGAGCATGCTAGAGTACATTTCCCTCTTCACTTCTCATTTAGATGACAGCTACTCTAGCTGAATTACTAAAAGCAAAACTTAAGCCTGCAAGCTGATGGCAAGCTCTAGAAAACCACAAACAGAAAGTCCTTTTTGCCACTCACTTGGTTTGTGTAGACTGGTTTTTGTGGATCTATTTGTGCTGAATGATAATCCATGTGTGTGTATGTGTGCATGCATGCATCATGTGAATGCATGCATCAGTCATGTGTGTGTGTGTGTGCGTGCGTGCGTGCGCGTGCGTGTGTGTGTGTGTGTGAGTGAGTGAGTGAGTGAGTGAGTGAGTGAGAGAGAGAGAAAAAATAAGAGCACATGTACAAATACGCATAAAACTGAAAGAACTGTACCTGGATCTTTGCTGTCCAACCCAGACAGGATTGTCTGTAGGAATGTTTGTGTGTAGTTCTGGACTGGAACAATGTCCTTCTGCAGTATCTGGAGGAATGCAGAGCTGGCAGCAATCTGCATCTCAGGTTGAGCAACATGAAGAACCTCCTAACACCCAAAAAAGAAATACTTCATATGAGAATATTGCACATTAAGCATCAATGTGACATTAAGAATTAAGGATCCAGTAGCAAAGATAGTGTAATCTGTCTGTATCAAATAGTCAAAGTATTTAAAGTTAAGTATCATTTCAACTTTTTCATTATTGTGTATACTTTTGTTGTTCTTTTTGTGATTTTTATAAGCATTCATGTGCTCTGTTCTTCCTTATACTGATAAACAATATAATTATTTATCTTTTCAAAGTACTAGCTTCAAGGTACTTTTGACCACTCACAGAACTTATTGGAAAATTCCATTTTTGACTGCTGCTACAGGAACTGCACTGATGAAATATTGGTTTAACATACCAGCACCTGATTTATTAGGTCCTGCATCTAATATTTTTATTTCACCATATGGACAAATCATTTGGTTGTTGCCCACTCAATGATTCAAGGCACTTAAACATTTTAGTGAACAGAGAGAATTCTTACTCTGTATTTCCTTAAAACGTGAATAACATAATAAAATCTGAATGGCAGAGACAAAAAAAAAATTAAACATTTGGTTTTGAAAATGTAAATATGCTTCAAAGTTCTAAGATGCTTTTAAAAAGTATTTTCAAAGTGGCCTCTGAAAAAAATGTAACAGTTGTCAAGTATCACCCGTCTCTTTTATATATCTAGGTAATAAAATATATAGACCTTACCTCTACCACAGATTGGTAAACCGCAGGGCCACACAATTTAACCTGTGAAGCACAATATCAAATGCTTCTTCCTACGACTTTATAGTACACAGGATACCACACATTTCTTAAATTTCAACATCCAAACTTCAAAGCACAACAATATTACAAACACTTGGTACATAACCTTCTTCTGGTAAAACATAACGTTAGTCTGGATAAAGTTAAAGGATAAAGTTCCACACCTGTACACCACGCACTGTAGTCCCAAATCACTTCCAACTGTGTTGGTTTAAAATCGGTCTGTCTATTTATAAAGAAACACCAAAAGTATGAACAATGGGGTTGATCAGTAGATAACCCAAACAACCCTTACCAGCATGTTATACAGTGGAGTTTATCCTGAACAAACAGCATAAGTTTAAGGGGTATTTAAAAAAACACAGCTGCATATATTTTTATCTTTGTTCCAGCATTCATTATGTTTTTGAAGTGCTTGAAGATTCTTGTTCTATTCCAAAGGTAAAAGAGAAAGAATGCTTTGGGAAAAGAAATTACATATTGCTCACACAAAAAACACCAAAGCAGTCATTATCAAATTCTCAAGCTGTATGTTATTGGATTTACAATCCAAATTTGACACATTCTTCTGATAAATGGGCTGAATGTTTGTTTAGTGTAGTTGACAGATTGTCAGTTCTATTCTCCTTCACTTGGTTACGCCCAAGATCAAGTCCTTCAGAGGCAAGGAAACATCATCATACTTCAAGGGTTTCATTTCTGAATTTTGACATTTATTAAACTGTATGACTTTTACTTCAGGTTCATGTAGTTCACTTCCCTGTGCAATGATTACTTATTTTCTTCCTAATTCACATTACCTGTGAGGCCAAGTATTATATTCAATGTTGCTGAAGATAAATATTAAAACTGACACGCAACATCTCTATCAGCAAGAAACAGCAATTAAAATTAAAATAGAAACTGTCATGCAAGAGACAAACTTGGAGGGATGGCAAATTGTTAAACAGATTTTTTTTTATTCCTCTAGCCTCAGTTCACCCTAACACAGTTGAAAGCATTCATGGGAACAAATCCCTGCCAGTGTTGCTTTAAGCAAACCAACTTCACATCTTTGTTATTAATCTCTCCTGCATTGTCGGTGTGCGGGAGATTTACACACACTGAGCACT